GTTATTTTTATGTTTCTCTTAATTTAACGGGCATTTTGTAATATCACCTAATTTGTCTGAATTTCGTGACGCAGCTACTTTAAACATACGTTCATTAAAGGGGTCGTTATCATCCATTTAGCCTAAATTACACCGAAACATTAGGCGGTTGGTCATTCGTTGTCCACGATCGAAACCAACGCTTGTTTAATATATTTGGAATAGGAACCGAAGGAATAGTTATTTGCAATTATTTATGCAATCATTTACTACGTCTATTGATCAGGTCTTTTGACATCATTCATAGCTTGAGGCGCCATACAGTCTTTTCTTTTTGTAAGAATGTTGTTTTTCCGGCCTAGGCTGAATATCATTTCCTTAATCTGTTCATGTTGTCCCTCAGCAGCATAATTAAAAAATATTAAACTGTTCTAGTGAGGCCTTAAATTAAAATCCAAAATCCAAGCTTTCTCCGATCAACGGCATCATCAGGGATGAGAAAATATTCTGTGCACGCTATATATACAGGTATGCAAAGAAGGTGTAGGGTGAAATGCGCAGAAGATGTGACGTATGTATGAAAGCTATAGAAACAAACTGTGAATGGAAGCTAATGGAATACCGGTCAGCAGTGTAAAACGCAGACTGCGGACTGCAGACTGCAGACCAGGGGTAAAATGCAGACTGAGTGTAAAATGCAGACTACAGACTGAGAGTAAAACGCAGACTGGGGTAAAATGCAGACCGAGCATAAACTGTAGTTGCAGAAGGGTTTAAGGGCAAATAAAATCCTGCAAAATACATGTAAACAAACACTTACTTGACGACATATATCTGCTTTCTCAAATCCATTCATTCTTCTCTGGAACTTCGTCGACGACCCAAAAACATATCATAATCATAATCTTGAACCTTTTTTTTTTCGTCAGAGCATGGATAATTAATAGATAGACTTTACTTTCTACTAAAGTATTATCCATTGTCCGAGAGACCTCACGCGCCAGTTTTCGATACATGTGACCGTGAATTGGTACAACACGATGTTTACGCTTAAATAAAAGCTGCTGACCCTGTACAGAAAGAATTATGGCGATAAAAATGGGAGTAAATCATTCCAACAACAAAAAAAGATGTTCTGCAGGAAATTTGGATGACCTTCTATGAAAGTATTGCAAATCAAGGTAGGCAGACGTAAGCTGTTCAGACGTCTATTGAAACTTCTGGCGAATGTGCAATGTACTTCGACAAGGAAGCAAGGTGTTTAACTGATACCAGCTAGCTAATTCACCTAGCCTGCAAAGCAGGCGTATTTTGCTGTGCAATCGATTTGGACTTTTGACTGACCGAGCGTTAGGGCGAGTCGAAAAATGATTCAATACAATAAAACGCCTGATCTGAGGCTATAATTCACCTATTTGGAGAAGAAGGAGCACAAGTGTTTAAAAAGTCTGCAGTCGATCTTAATTCTGCATTTTACCCCTAGCCTGCATTTTACTCTCAGTGTGCAGTCTGTATTTTACACTCAGTCTGCATTTTACCCCTGGTTCACCGTCTGTAGTCTGCGTTTTACACTAACTGAATGGAATACAACGCTCTAATGATGGACGCAGTCGTGGATGAAGCATGTTGTGTAGTTATATTAAAATACAAAAAAAAAAATGTTGTTTAGTTATACAATAATACAATACAATAGTTTATTTAACCACATAGCGTCTAATGAGCTAAATGTGGTACACTGCATTTTTTCGTAAACACAACAAGTCTGGTGTTAGAGATAGGGCATTTGTCCCTAGTGCATTTATGCTCCGTGAAGGTGTGGGATAGGGCTCGTCTGAGAGTGTATAGGATTTGTGGGCAAATTATGCGTACCGGAATGTTTTCTTTTTGAGCCATTTTGAAAAAATAGCTCATATGTTAGTGGTGTGAACGTATGTATCTTTGTGGCTTTGTGGCTTTGTATGTTCCGATGTTTGTTGCAAGAACCAGTAAGGTTGAAGGCACTATGAGTTGATGCTTAGGAACCAATGAGATCTTGGCATCTATTAAACATAGCATTGCTAAAGGTCAAACAAGGGCATTTTGAGACCACCATCTTGATTCTTCACAATTTTTTCATCTTTTATTATGGCTACAGGTGTTTAGAAGCATTACATTAAATATTTAAAAGGGTTCATATTTTAGTGTGGATGCTGCTTCAAGACATTTCTGACTGAATTCGGCTATCACGAACAGTACAACATACGTATTTATGAGTTCTGTTTCACCTGCTTCGAGGTAGAGTATAAAAGATCATATATTTTCAAAGCTCTTCCAATGAAACAATAATTGATATTTAGGTATGGACTTTAATTCAAAAGTATGCGGCCTATAAAAATAATGTGGTTTTAGATGTTTGAAAGGCAGCTTATTTTTTGGAAGTTGTATGGAGTATTGTTAATCCTGTAAACAAGCTTTATTCTCTCGCTTACAAAGTTCAACAGACCTTTTTTGTTCCGGCAAAAAAAAACATGAATAAGTGAACAACATAATACATCCTTAGGCCGGTCTGCTTACTAAAGTATTAAAGTACAATCGCATGTGATAACCTCATGAATAATGATGATGCAGCCATCTACAACAATGATGAAAATCTTAGCTATTCGGTATTCGATGACCTTCATTATTTTAAGAACCTTGAAACCTTCGAGTCTTCCCCCTAAGCAATGTTTTTGGTGAGTTGATATTCATAGTACTTGAGCAATTTGTTTATTTTGCACCAGATGTCTGAGGGAAAGACAAAGAAAAGTGAATTTATCAGATCGAATCAGCTGTGCGCTGCAGTTCTCATTTTCATTAATGTACAGTAATACCCAATTTTGCACAAAACGTAGCCTTAATTTAGAATTAAGACAGTAGATTACCGATACTGTTACACTAGAGCATTCAAAATAGCTCATGCACCTAAAACGTGCCTATTTTTATATGACAAGTAGGCAGTGTGACTAATATATTACTATAGCAAGGACTTATACATGTATTCCCCTTCTGTTCATCAGTCGTGGCTGCCTCCATCTGATTATCCTGAGATCATGAAAGCAATAAGGATGTTAGACCACTCAGAGGTTTACTCTTTTTTTATTTCTTTTTACAAAAAGTTATACTTTATTCATGAATATTATACTATGCTGTTGACATGTCACCTGGTGCGCGTTTGTTGACTGACATGGTTGACATGTTGACTAATATTGTTTACTATTTCAAATGAGGCTTGGTTAACATGTTGACTTGACAGTTTCACGATATGTTGACATAAGGGTACTTTTATACATCAATCAATTCCAGTAGCTGAGTCCCTACCCCCGGGAATTTGCCATCCAATACAAGGCAAAAAAAATGTTAATGCCTTGGGGTCAGTCGGGAGTTGGGGGGGGGGGGTGTCTGGGCGGGGCTGGAATTGACTGATGCATTAGTTCACAAGATCCAAGAAATTTATGGTTATGCCTTGTTTGTTTGGTGAATAACTTCGATTTACCTCAATTATCACGTATGTGTACACCTAATTGAGGTTTGTGTGTTGAAAACAAATTTTTGTATAAATAATTGCTATTACTTTGTTTTCTTTCATTTTTATTAGTTTTAATATTTATTATTTTCTTATTAGTTTTAATTAGGTGACAAGGGATCAATGTGAAGAATTAGATTAAACTGCAATTATCACAGTTTTTTATTGTAAAAGACTGAAGAAAAATTAAGTGGGCGTGGTTCTTGAACAGAAATACCAACAGTTTACAATATGTTCTTACTGTTATTTATTGTCATTGTTCTTGTAGGCTTGCTATGGTGACACAAGTGTTCCAGCATTACATGTTACTCTGCTTGGTGGTGAGTGGGGTTCATCTGCTGGTGGGTTGTCAACCATAAACAGAGAGCTTGCTATTCACCTTTCCAATTATTCAGCAATGAAGGTTTCTTTACTAGTCCCAGAGGGAGCTTGCAACACTGAAGAAGTAAGAGAAGCAGATGGCTATGGAATCACTATTGTTGAGGCGAAAAAACGTGCAGCATATGATCATCTTGATTGGTTGAGCATCCCACCCCAGGACCACTCCATGGACATTGTTGTTGGTCATGGTGTTAAACTTGGTCGGCAAGTACAATTCATTAGAGGTTCTGCTCAATTTCCAAATTGTAAGTGGGTACAAGTGGTTCACACTGCTCCAGAGGACCTGAGCAGATACAAATGCTACAGTGACCCCATTTCAAAAGGTGAAACAAAACACGAATCAGAAGTTGAGCTTTGCAAACTTGCTGATCTTATTGTGCCTGTGGGACCCAGACTAAAAGAAGCATACTCTTCATATTTACAGCGATGCAAGACAGATCAAGACCTTTTGTCCATTACTCCAGGCCTTTTTCAAAGGGAGTTTGGGGATTTAGTGGCAAAACATTATCCTAATGAAGATGGTGAATTTAAAGTGTTGTTATTTGGTCGCGGGGATGATGAGGACTTTGAACTCAAAGGATACAACATTGCTGCTCAAGCATTTACTGATCAATGGTTGAAAAACAAACCATATCATCTAATCTTTGTTGGAGCACCTGAAGGAAAGCAAGAAGAAGTTAGAAAAAAACTTGTTCAGAGTGGTATTATGGAAGCGCAGTTGACTGTTAGAAAATTTATACAAAGTAGAGAGAGACTGAAAGACTTGCTGTGCGAAGCTGACCTTGCCATAATGCCATCAAAATCAGAGGGATTTGGTCTTGTTGCACTTGAGGCCTTGTCTGCGGGACTACCCATTCTTGTAGGCAGTAGGTCAGGATTTGCCAAAGCATTAGAGAATGTCCTTTATGGTAATACATGCACTGTGAATTCAGATGATCCTGCAGAATGGGCAAAAGCAATAGCAGCTGTTCGTATCAGGCATGGAATGAGGCTTCAAGAGATAAAATTACTGAGAACATTTTATGGGGAGATGTACAGTTGGAAGGAGCAATGTGATGCCCTTGTGAACAGAATGCAGAGAATGGGTCATGGTAAGAGTTGTTTTTGTTCAGTGCGGATGTACTTAATTGCACTGTATTCATAAATATTACCCTAATTTAGTTTTCGTGGCACAATGCAAAATGCAAGAATAATGCAGTGCACTCACAGGCACTGAGTGCATTTTGTTCTTTGACCACTTTGTTGAGTGTACACGCAGGTTCTATCAGTTTTCTTTGCAAATTTAGTACATGTACATACTGTCCGAGAATGTTTTACCGTTTTATACAGCTAGATAAATATGGCCTGAAGACATACACTGTATAAAAATTAATAATGTACCTCTTTACAATCCTTACCTATCTATTAGATGAAGTTATTTTCTCAAGAAATCATGCACCTTTGGGGCGGGAATGTAGTGATACTTGAACTTCAGTGTTGTTATTTTTAAACTGGCACTTAAGTACTGAAGGAAAACATACAAAGACAGTCAGTTTTGTGTTGGGAGGTGACAAACATGCAAATTAAATTGGCTACTTGAAATTTTGAGATGCCTACTTTCCTTAATAATAATGTCACTCAAAGCTGGATAAAGCTGACTGTATAAACTTGTAGGATTACCATTTTGAAATGTAATCTTAGGATGGATCTATAGTTCTTTAAAAAGTTATGATGTTTTTACCATCAAATTTATTCTAAATTCCTGTTGCTTCTTGAGCTAAAATGTTTTGTGCACACCTTTTAAAGTTGTTATTGGAAGTTTACGCATAAAGTGATGCGTTTAAAAATTTTAAACCAGTTTGAAAATTTCACACCAGTTTGAAAAATTTAAACCAGTTTAAAAAAATTCAAACCAAAGAAAAACTTTGAACTACAACATATACATATAATTATTTTGGAAGAAGCTTATAATAATTATATTAAAGGCTAATGTTGTCACACCAGAATATGCTTCTGATATACCAAAGGATGTTTCTGTCAATGGAAAGCAGCCTGTTGCAAAAACACATGCTTCAGCTTCTGGATTCTCAGGAGAGCAATGTCCAGTTGATGAGCCTAAAAATGAGGATGCAGCCAGATTAAGTGAGGATTCTCCCTCGATTTGCGATATTCCTCGCGTTTCAGGGCTCACTTCTGACCAAGGTATGGAATTACATTGACAAGGTGCCAAACCTTTTTACATGTATTAATAAACTCTTGATAATTTTTTGGCCCTTTTAAAAAGTAACTGTTTTTTTTATTTATGTCTTTCTGCTATAAATCACCATTTTCAGATAGACCATGCATGTACGCACCTTGTTAACTTCCCAAATTGTCTTCGATTTCTCTTGGGGCAAGTGTAATACCCAGGAGAAATAGGGGGTAAACAAGATGCATGCAAGATGTATGTGAAAATGGTGAATAGCTAGAGAATGCTCTCTTTGTGTAAAGAGCTGAGGAGCCTCACTGAGTTTCCTTATACATTAGTAAATATAGTTGCCCCCGCAGGGATTTCGCCCAGAAGGCGAAATCCCGAGGAGGCACTCTAGTAACTCACGCGTATATTAAGGAAAGTACTTACAGTTGAAATATACAGTCATACATGCAGTCAACATAGAAAAAATCTCGATTTGCTTGAACAGGGGCTGTGATGAACAATGAACATTCAATCAAAGAGAACCTGATTACGCAATTAAGCTTAGTTTTGTTTTGATTTAAATAAGATACGTTTCTGTTCTGTTTCATTTATCGAGTTTTTACGCCCCTATTTTCATGTGTAATTCAGACGAGTTGGTGATCGTATTAAATGCTGTTGAGTCAACTTGTGCTGTTAAATTCTATACTGTGGTTGACACTTCCCGATCTCCAGTGCACAACATCCCGTGTCCGCTGCACTGGGTACGCGACAGGGGCTGCGAGGAATCGGTAGGTAATGATGACGTTTCTATTGTTTGCGCTCGTAAGTACCGAATGGTTAGGACGACATAAAACACAAAAAATCCCGAAGGAACAGCTTACAATAGGTAGATTTTGTGACATTAATTGTGCAGTCACACTTCGATACTCTTTTGTACTGTACATGTGTTACGTGTTATCAGTGACATTCTGTGGAGCAGTTGTTATAAAAGTTATAGACCAAAAGACACTTGTTAAGCACAGATGTTTGCCAGACAAGAGTTCACAAATCTTTGATTGGAAACCTTCAGCTGAACCTTGCCAGACAATATTTCTCTCTCTTTGACCAGAATAAGACTCGGCCCAAAACAAGCAAGACGAGTGATTGATTCAACGGCTAGCTTATCACTAGCAGAATGATGGACGATTACAGAAATTGACCGACCATCAAATTCTGCGCTGACTTATTCCCTGCTCTCAGATGTCCCTCTGCTATATAGTTTAATATAAGACTAGAATGCGCGAGCGTGAATCGATCAAACGTCCTTTTAATTTCTAAGGCTTACTTTCCGGCAAATGAAATGAACTAAATGTAAAAAGTGAAAGAGAAATAGCGAAAAATTCAACTTCTAAGTAAATCTTTTCTTATGGTTTAGAATAAACTATTCTTGAAGATTATGTTTTGATCAAAGCTGCGTAAATCGAACCGAAACTGTGTATGGAACCTTGCGTTTATTTCCTGTATTTATCTCACCTATTGTATGGAATATGTGTGAACATCTTCATTATGAATCGGTATATTTCAAAGAGCTACACAATGAGCAAGAATGCTAGGATCAGTTTAGTTTTTTGGGCAACCGAGCTCGATACAAGTTTATCGAGCTCGATATGTCAACTGGCCTCAATATGTCGATACCGAGCTCGAGGCCTCTCACTTTTCTGGGGGGACAAAGTAAAAATGGTTATCGAGCTCAATGACTTATCAAGCTCGGTGACTTATCGAGCTCGGTTTTCCAAGAGAAGAAAAAAGGAGAAAAAATGGAAGTTAAAGCAATAGATGACCACGTGGAGTACAAAATCTGAAACACCTTCTCGTTCTCAATTCGTTACAGACAAAAAACATTGTGTGGCTGGTCGATTAATGTTGTTTTGGCGGCGAGTCGTTTAAAAAAAATATTGACAAAAGGCATTATAACATAGCACGCGTGCTTGCCCTATAAGTCCTATTAAATCTTTATTTACGCACGCCCGTGCGTAAATAAAGATTTTTAATCATGATGACGTGTTTAGCTGTGTTTCTTGTCTCTTTTTCCTGAGTACAAAATACCCAAATTCGATGGCAATGATGAAAAAAGTTCTAGCATTTTTGGAATTTAGCTTCTCCACTCAAACCAACAGCCAAAGCGGTGAAGATGTTTCGCAAATAATTAGAGCCTGAATCGTTGAAAAGTCTGCCGTAAAGATTCCCTGCTATCAGAGGTCTCTCAAGACGAGGCAAAAATAAGAGAAAGGGGAGTCTCTACCCTTTGAAGAACTTGCTGTATATATTCATTGCTAGTTTGCTACGTGCGATTGAATATACCAGAAGGTTGGCACCAAACAAAAATGGACTAACATAAGATGGTTGCACAAGATATGGGAGAATACAGCTGATCCACAGCAACTGTTTTCTGCACATCTTTTAACCACTGTGACATAAGGCACCTACTGCATGTGACAATACTTCATTTTGTCCTTCCATACAGCTATCTGGTCGCAATTGTAAAAGACCAGGTAAACTGGAAATTTTTGGAAATGTCAGAAGAAGGTAGTGTTGATATTAGTTTTGTTTCAGTTTATTAAAATACAAAAATCGGCCTGATTTTCAAATGTTTGTTACAGCAAAAGACTTGAGAAAGTAGCAGGATTTTCGACCAGTCTTTATTTGGGCATTCACTTTTGAGTGCAAAAGTGATTTTAGCACAATTATATTTAGCCCTATAAATGTCAGTACAGTGTATGTGAAAATAGGCTGACACATGCTGAGTCATGAAGACCAGCTTCAGGCCTGTTTGTATGATCAAATTGTTGTTGTCTACAGGTCAAAGATTTATGCCAGTTCGTGAAAAACTTCCATTTTGGCAGCGCCCCCCTCCACTCCCCCCTCAAGGTGCACATCATCAGCCTTGGGTGTTTCTCCAGCACCCAAAGGTACCTACAAGTCCTTCTCCTGTAGCTCCCTCGCAGCCCCGACCTGTTACGGTACAGCCCCTGCAACCAAGTGCCCTGACACCGGAGCCCGAGGTACCGCAATGCCCAGTCTGTAAGGCCCGTCTACCAGCATATGTGGATAGAGATGAGCATGTTAATAGTCACTTTGATTGAGCTTTCTATTTCATGCAGTCCACTCAAAAATTGTTGTTTTATAACCTGTATAAATTGTTATTGTTTAGAATAGACAAGTAGAACAAAATTTCTTTGAGTTAAAAATTATATACTTACATTCGGGGAGTTAGAGACAAGCAGTATTTCAGTTTACTTTCCTGCTTTCCTTGATTTTAGAACAATCTGAAACTCTCTTCTCCCTTCTCTAACTTACATCAAACTTCTCCTTTTAACACCAATACTAAATCAAACAATAAGCTTGTGAAATTTAGGGCGTAAGGAAAGTCGGTTTTATGGCTTGCCATTCAGGCAAGTTGTTGCTAGCATGTACTAGCCCAAGAGTCTTTAAAGTAGCACAAAAAATTTTTGATGAGCAGCATTGATTACAATACTTCTGTAATCTGAATTTCCCCAAAAACTTCACTTGCCCTTCGGGCAAGTGAGGAACAGGCCTAGGATTCACTGGCTCGATTGCAAAATAGACTAGCCCCAGGCTATCGGACACGACTTTCTTTGCACGCTGGAGATTGAAGGAAATCATTTACACAAATGTCTTGATCTACATGTATAAGCAAATTCTCCTTGCCAATACTTGAAGAAATGTATGGAGAAGAGTGTAGAGGGTGTGCATGTAGATACGCATATGTACATGTAGTGGTAAATGTCATGATTATAGACATGTTTAGATTAGAGACTTACATGTATATAAATTTGTAGCCTTTGGAATAATTATTCTAAATCATCAAGGATAAATTAGTCAAATGACTATAAAGAATTACTTTAAAGTGTAAAGTTGTAGCAGACTAAAGATTCAAGACTTTT